GCGAGTTTGATAGGTCGCTATCTGGACTGTCGTAAAGCTGATAGTTTTTTCAGTTTCGAGTCAATACTCTACATATATCAAAGCAGAGGTGTGATAAAACGGCCGGAATCGGTACCCATCGATATGTTTCTCAAGGAGCTCAAATTTTTTGAAGTAAGCTTCTGCTTTTTTGGAGATGCTTTCATCCGTAATAATACTACACTTCGTTGCTACTCCCATCTTCTCTTCTTCCTATCCCCATAACTGTTGGAGAACTGAGGTACTGGGATTTCCACCATCCGTTAAGTGAAAGGTGTTTTTAAAGTACAACTACGCCTCTTCCTTTCTTCTCAGTCTTTTTAAGTAGTGTCTTTCAATCTATTTCTTTATTTTACAAAACAGACCAGTATCTTTCGGAGGATTATTTTGTCAAAAGTATTAAATTGCTTCTAATGCAATAGACGAATCGCTTCGCAAGATCGTTGCAGATTTGCAAGAGTAAGGAAATTTTTAGTTCGCAGTGAATGCATGATCAGTTTTTGTAGATGGGCGATGAGATGCTGGAAAGGTTTTGGATTAGTGAAGGTTATGAAAAACCAAAGGAAATCGAGATGCCTCAGAACGCTCTGCAACGGCAAGTCTGGGAGTTGATGGAGTATCCGGATTCGTCGCTTTTTGCTCGTATTGTGGCATTGCTTTCCATTTTTGTGATCACCATGTAAACCTCTTATGATGCATTTATGAAATTTTTCAAGACAGTATCAGTATTAATGAGAGGTGTATCTGATTTTGAACGTCTGAGACGTAGCACATTCATATGATGTCGTGTTTTATACTGTATTCAACTTTCACTACATGCCGAGGTGCACAATGAGGCACTAACATTGTTGCCCGACAACACAGATAATCCTAAAATTTATAGTAAATTTTTAACCTTCTGATCGGTCCACTCAAGTAAGACGATCTAAGGGATCTTCAATGGAATCTCAGTTCCTTTGCCTTTTTCAAATATATTTACATATTGCTTGTTATGCGTTTTTGCCTATATGCAAATTGCAAAAACGCATATTGGGACGACCCTGTCTGTG